ATTTCATGAGATTTTGTGAATCAGTTGTGCCGAACCAAATCAAGCCAGCACTCTTCCTGAACAGACTGCTTGGTAGTGACATTAATATCTACACCAAGGGTGCATCGTTCGATATCATAAGCATTATTTTACGGTCATTATTGCACGTTGGACAACTCAGTGTAGTTCGTTGTGCATCGTGATTGGATTTTTAAACATTGGGCTCTTCAATTTTAAAGTGGTTTAATAGGTACGCCACGATTTCAAAGACATGCAAACATGCATGTAATTGTGGTGAACGGAATGCAGTGCCCGTTTGCGAGCGTGCAGCATTTTCCTGCTTCACGTTCACAGGTCAGTGACACCACTTAAGGCATAGTGTGTGCGGTTTACTCAATACACATTTCCGTTGTCGGGCCAATCCTGCGTGTATTGAGGACACTCTGCATGATATATCAGGAACGTGTATTGCGCCTAACGTGTGTGTGATCAATATATCATGTCATCGCGTGAACCTTTACTCTGGCCTTAACTGTAAATAGTTTATGATGCTGCTGAAAGTAGACCAGCCCACTTGTTATGCAGTGTTGTAGTACTCGGTACTCGTACTCGAGCACTACTCGAGTACTGTTTTCAGAGTACTCGTACTTGTACTCGGATGTCCGAGTACTCGTACTCAAACTACAGTTCTTGTACTCGGGTTACAAAATACTCGGAAGTTGACATCCAAAAATTGTACTCGAGCATCAGAGTACTCGTACTCGATTAATAGTACTTGATAAAAAAATCCTTTAAGTTAACTTACCACGGCCATTGAGATAAGGTACAAAAATATCGACCCCACTGACCCGATATTAGATAAAGTTCTGACAACGAGAAGGCCGAACGTGGGACCATTAACCTATACGACCCATTTCCGTCTATGCGCGTACTTAACCAATCACGTACTGTATGCAAATTATATTGTGGTGCTCCAGAATGGTCCTCCAATTTACTTGGGCATTGGTAGTCTGGTTCCTGGACCCGAAAATTCTAACGACGAACCCAGCATACAGAAAATCACAGGCATTAGAATAATTGAGTCTGGAAAATAGACTTCGCCGCGCCTTGCACGTTGTGTCAACTGCTGCAACGCACGTGTAGTGACCGTGACATTGCTAGTCAGATCACTTGTTCTTGTAGCCTTGTCATCTGCATTCGGTGTTTCTTTACACAGTGGCAGGTCTCAGAGTCTCTAGATTAAGATAAAACTACTTTTGAATTAGAAATACTTGTATTCGGAATTAGAAGTACTTAATTGTTCTTGTATTCGTACTCGGAAGTGCAAGTACTTGTACTCGGAAACCAGTACTTGTACTCGGCTGGCAAAGTACTCGACCTGTCTTTGTACTCGGCAGTCAAAGTACTTGGCAGTACTTGGTACTCAGTAAAAAGTACTCGACTACAACACTTTTGTTATGTTGGAAAAATCTTAAACTGCTGTTACATAATGCAGCTACATTTTTACGTGAAAAAATATTAAATACTGTACCTTGAAACCCCTTTGCTCGAATTTGATTGCCTTTTTAATGTCTGGAAGGGATGAAATTAAAACTCCTTTTTATATATTTTTTTTCTTATACAAGAACCCATACATACCTAAACGGTAAAGAATTGTTGGAGAGTTCCTCGTAAATGTGATGACCCATTGAAACCTTTCATGTTTACACATGATATAATAGAAACATGTAACGTAGTTGCTTGTTTCATGATAAAATGAATAGCACTCTGAAATATCAATTTTCCCGATTTATGATACCAAAATTGTCCTGTGTATCTCAAATCAGTATTTATTTTATAAAGGGTACACCTTTGCTTGGTCTAGCTTTTAAAAATCCCTCAAAATAAATTTTAGGTCCGGGCATACAGGTGGGTTGGATTCAATATATTTCCCAAGCCTGCAGTGTGCACCCATTACTTGGAAATGTTAACACTGTGAGCATCCTTAGTGTAAAATGGTAATTGTTATCAACTCAACTCAAAATTGAACTTGGAATGTCTGAAGTAACGATTAGTGAAGCAATGATGACTATGATAATCCAAAAATTACAATTAATTTCAATATAAAGAACATGTCAGAGTAAGTCCAAAATGAACTCAATGTTGGAAAAAAATGGACAAACCATGCATGAATAAAAAAGTAAATACATACGTATTTAGAATAAATGAAATATTTTAAATTTTACAATGTGAACATTTCATTAAAAATAAAGCACTTCGGCAATGACAGCTCAACGTTGTCATTTTCGAGTTCAGGTTAGTTTATTCAAACACATGCAGTTTGAACACACTGAAAAACGAATGAGTTAATGGGTCAACACTGTTGTCTCATCTCCTTAAGGGGAAGGGAGCATGGAAAGAAAAAAAACCCAAAAATTTGAGCAGTACTGTAGAGCGTACGTGTCCGGATCGGGAATCCCTGGCAGGGAGTGGTTAAGCTCGATAATAGTGTGTAGTAGAAAACTTGCATAAAACCTATGAAGGAAAACTGCGGCTTTAACCACTACCAGCC